GGATCCTGGCTTCCGTTGGATGTTTCTGTGGCCAGACCACTTACTGGCGATGACAGACCAGAGTCTTTGCTTCCACTGGATGTTTCTGATGCCCCCTCACTTATCACCTGAGGGGTTAAGAATGATGTAAAAGAATACCGAGACTCGGGCTCAAGAGCATTCTCCGATGAACTCCCTGCGACTGATGCACTGGTCGTTAGACGTAACGATGTCGTAAAGATGTCGTACAAATGTGGTTGTAAAGGTGTGGCAGAAGAATGACCGGGTGTGTCAGAAGAATCTGGACCATTCATAACAACTGTTGACGTCATGAGGCTATCGTTGCTCGAAGCTGTCGCATTGCCTCCAAGTGGCTTACTTTGCTCGACATCTAGCGTGCGTGACGACACAGGCCGTGTTGGATTTTGGAAAACCGAGAAGACGTTGCCAATTGATGAGTGAGTGACCAAACTGGTGACGCTAGATGGCGCTGTTGTTGACGTCGATGAGGGATTTGAAAGTGCAGATGTTGTTATTGCTGCATCTGCAAGAAAAGCGACAATTACAGTTTGTACAGCGTGATTCAATATTATAAAAGTATTTTTGGTGAGTGAAATCGCAGTGCAATTTTATGTTAATCGATGGCTTTTTTTCATTTTTTTTATTTACTTGGTCTCTCTAGACGCATCCGCTTTTATGCTCTTTATTTGCATAATGTGCTTGAAAGAAATCAGTTTATTCACACACACACACACACATACACACACACTGCATATATATATATAACCTTAGTGCTGTATAATGAACAGCAGAAACGGTAAAAACATCAATATATACAACGCCTGTACATTGTCACCAGATACCGCTGGTGTATAATCTACAAAAAAGTGTTTACTGGAATTTGGTAATCTCTAACCATAGATTAGAACACCTTTTCCTTTCAATATTAATCAACTATCAGTCACTGAAAAGGTGCAATATGTTGCATTCCACAGTTTTCCAAGTTGCAAGAGTCAGTTAAGACAAGACTAGAATGAAGATTACTGAATACAAGGGGTTAGTGGGTGGTGGGGATCGCGTACTTGGACATTTCTGTTATATCGTACATGTATTTGCCGTGGCTCGAGCAAGGCGAAAAACCCATATTTATTGCATCCGTCCCCCTGCTTTTTTTCAGTGATATTCTGGGTTTAGCACTGTGGCCATTCCAACTACCTCACTGCATGTATTACATTTTCGTGTTGTGAAGCTTTTAAACATTCATGGTGTGTCAGTAACATTATTATAAAGCGGAAATCGATAATATTCCTTTTCTATGGATAATTTGGGAAATTGCATTTCCCAATGGACAAAATTATGATTTACAAACTCGTTAAAGAGTTCTTGATTAATTATCTTTACCGACAATGTGAAATTCACTGGTTCCAATAAACATTACGAGAGTGACTCAAAATTAGACAAAAGGTTCATATATCGCAATTTTGACAAAAAAATTAAATTTTTGCAATAGAAAGGTCTAAAGCAAGTTGTAGTCCTTAAATACTAGTTACCCATAAATAAATAAATAAATAAATAAATCAATACAGTCGACTTGCCTCCAGTGTAAGCACATCGTTCCCATGCATCAGAGATACCTTGCTGATCAAGCTCAACGTCATAAACTTGAATGCATCCAATTTTGCCTTCAAAGTAGTTGGAGGAGCTCATGCAACAGGCGCCATCTAATCGCCTTCCAATGTGGATACCATAGGTCGTTTCAATATCGTCGTGACTCACTGTCCTTTGAGCCTCGTGTATGTCATTGACGTATAATTTGAGTGCCCTGGACGAATGGTCAAAAGTGACTGCACATTTCGTCCACTGATCTGTTGGCAGTGAACTTGTTCCAAGAGAAGTGGCATAACCTGGTGCGCCACGCGCAATGGGATAAACGCGGAACCCACTGTACTGCCAAATCATTAGGCCGTTCCGTACAGAACCTGACGGGTAATCATACTCAAATATAGGAAACCTGTTTCCAGTCGTCGGATACAAGTCCACCATGATAGTAAAACTCCTTCCGACATCTAAGGCGCCGTTGTTGTTAGGTATAGTGATATAAGAACCGAGGGGAAACTGTAACGACTCCATGTCATTACCGTCCTGACCGGTGCTGAAATCTACACTACCGTGGAATTGTATGTGGTTGCTGTTTCCAGATACATCATTTGCCTGAGATACAGCGTTGATCGGCCATAAACCAACAGGGACTGGAGACTGCGTTGTAGTACATGAGCCTAAAACTTGAAATAACTCGCTAGTATTATTTTTAATTCATACAGGTAAATTTAGTAATATGTCACCAACTTACTAGAGAGATTTAGACTCTAGGTTTCATCAGCACTGACATACCGCGAATAGAAAATAGATTTTTAGAAAATCGACTTTCCATGTGAACGAAGCCTTATTCTGTGAAAATAGTAATGTTTCACAAACTCTGGATACTTCTTTAATTTTATCTCTGATATTGGTAGCCAGTGGTTGAAAATAACTTTTATCTTCATGATAACTGTCCAGAGGATAACAATTATATCCACTGGTCTGCGGTATCTTATTGCACTGCTTTAGTGTTGATGAAACTGGGTCTTGGTGTCTCTGGCCTCATTTGACTACCTCTTCAATGGAACGTTTTAACATTAAAATGTAGGAAAGGCTTCACTGAAATACTTTTAAAGACTATACCCTCTTGCAGTCAACAAAGTTTGTCAGAAAAAAGAAAATGTTATTCAAAATAATAACATATATGGAAAATAAACGTGCTTCATAAGTTCCATTGACTCTCTCCGTTGGTTGATTTCACCTTCATTTCACTTTCTACAAATTTCCTAAAGATTTTCTAAGGATGTAAGATAAAAGCGCCCTCTGTATCTCACTGGAGATGTATACGATTTGTATTTGTTCTTATATTTTACGTGAGCCAACCACTGAACTCTAATGAAAAGATGCTCCAGGGGAACGCACAAATGTAATAAATTGTCCTTTTCGCTCACTATATACAATGAGTCTACGTTAAAATAATGTAACAACAGAGCGTCTATAAAAAAATTTAAAAAATATTTTGGAGAAAAAAGGCTCTTTAATGAGGATAAAAACTGGTTTATGTATACACACACAAGGAAAATATTTAGTGCTAAAAACACACCTGGTTGCATGAGCACCAGCAATACAGCAAATAGGGATGTGAAATTTTAGAAAACAAACGTGAGGATTCCTCATCCTTATCCTCATCTCTGTTTTGTTGTCTAAGGTACCTCACAGGATGACTTGCAAATGAAATATTCTAATCAAAACAGTCAAAAACTGTCACTGCAATGTGCTTTTCTCGATTTGCCATTTCTTACTTCTCCACACTTTGTTACGCGCGTTTTTCTTCGATTCGCAAATAGTTTGGAATCGAGTGGGTATATGTTATTAATATGTGTAGACGAAAATTTGATTAATTTTCTGTTAAGAAAAAATGACTTCCACCAAAATCTCTTTTGAAAAGATTTTAATCATTTTAATTATTTTTAATCATTAGTTTTATCGGCCATTTCTTACCTGCAGCTTTCAGGAGTCCCAAAAAACATACACGAACGGATACCATGTTTTTAGCCACTTTCCAGTCAACGTTGAATCATAACATGTGCCAGGCTTATTGTGATGCTGTCATAGAAGAATACACCACTGTATAGTTCCTCCCAAACCAACTTCATTGGTACTGGTACATGCTGAATTAAAATGACCACTTCTAGGTCACTGTGACATTATCAGTTATTTGATGTTATTATCTTTATTCACAGTGTCTCTCTCTTCGACAAATATTTTGGTTTATGACACGGTATACCTATGTTTGTGTAATGCATATTTATATACAATTAGGAGTATTAAGTTGCAGAGCCGAATCCAATTTCGCTCATTTCATCTGTTTGCAACGTATTATCCAATTAAGGCATATGCGCCAATTCCCAGATGGTGAAAAGAATTTCTCCACCTTGGACGTGCCACATTTTGATTTTTTAATTTGATTAACGTTATGCATTTATGGGTGGTGACACTTGCTTTCAAACCCTTTATTATTCGTCGAAAGGGAAAATCAGGATATCTAAGTGCACCACAAGCAAATAGTCTCTAGTCTCAAATTTTAATGAATGGGTAAAAACACTTGAAAATGATAGGACCCATAACAAGAGGCGCAGTTTGTTTGACAGACGCGGTTAATTCTTTACGCTGACATTGATCTGTCTACCCGATTCTTTGCTGAGAAATTATTAATCTCCACATGGGTCGAATCGCACGGTTTATTTGACCAGCGTGTTGCTTTGCTGTATCGTTAAAGGATAGGACAAGCACAATGACGCAAGAAGCTATTGCAATTTTGCTTTAGGCTATGCTGATATTTGATGATTCCCTGGGAAGAATGGGAAATTTAATTGTAGTTTTTCGTTTAGTCCCATTTAACAAACTGCATTCCCATTTTGCAATTCCACGATCGGTGTGACTAGAAACGGTTAGTAAAAAATGTTACAAAACAAGAAGTCCACTTACAGAGACAGATCGAGCAATTATTAGTGAAAAGGTAATTATAAAACTGCTTTCTCCAAAGAAATTTAATTTGGAGTGAAAATCTAGTACACCCTTAGCATATCTTAATCATTTGAATATTGATGAAAATAGAATCAATTGCATGATATTAAGTTAGAATAATAAAGAAAGATATACAGACAGATTATCATATATATAAACACCGGCGGATCCAATTTCGTTGAGGGAAAGAATATTATAATCTATAGGGCACAGGAATGAAAAATTTGTTTAGTTTCAGTTGTTATACTTTCTTCTTTATTTTAACGGAGAAGAGGGTGGTGAAAAAATGCACCTCAAAACGTAAGGAAGGATTGCGTACTGGGTACCCACAAAGAATGTGAACACTGCAGTGAAAAAAAATGCCAGCACGATTGAATACCACCTGGCATCAGAAGACAAATAACAAGGCGAATAACTGTCAGCCAAATATTTTATTGTAAGAATATTTAACAACAATAATTTCTGCATATTCAAAATCAGTTCCAATGAAAATGGATTAACCCGCAACACTGATGTCGGATTTTGGCGTCACAGTTTGTCTGTACTGTGAAATTTCAAAATTTTGTCTATAAAAATTTACACAAAATTATCTTTTTTATACAAACCTGACAGCATAAATGGTATCTAAAGTACCGTTTTTGTTTTAAAATTCTAATTTTGTTATTTCTATCAAACTGTAATTCTGCATTAATCAGACCTGATGTTTTTGGCAATTTTGTCAAAAAATGTACTCCCATACCAGCTACATGATCTATTAACTGTAACAATGAAACATAGACACAATTTTCCCATCACCAGAAAATAATACTAATTCAAGAAACAATAAAGTACATGTAATGCGTATTACACTGTAACTGTAAGAAACCTGAATAGCTGTTTGGAATGCTCTCAAGTATCAATTATCAATAACCTTCTGCAATATAATACCAGCTGCAGTTCCTTGATAACGATTCAGATAATTCTACAGCAATTTGTACAGAAATGTTCCTAATATCCAGACCAAGTAAGAACAGTGATTGTTAGGTAAAGAAAAAACCATCACATTAAAAAAAACCCCATAGAATCCCCCAGATAGCAATATTTCAATATCAGTGATAATAACAATAAGTGTCATTATGATATAACAGCTTTTTAAATAGTTCACAGAATTCTTCCAATTCACTTTTCAACTAACGTTAACATCAGTTTATGAACAAAATCCAAACCCCAGGTGTAAACTTTTAGGCAGAAAAATTATCAAATGCAATGAATGCATGAAACTGTCCGCTGAGCTTCAAGTATAGTCCTTAAAGATATCATAATTGTCCGCGAGCATTTGGAAATGCTCAAAGGTGCTCAAATCCGTTCAAAGAATTTTGCCGAGTTCATACGTTATATCCCTTATACCACTGTCCTTAAACAACACCAAAGATGCATTGCAATTTTGTATTCGCGAATAATAATCAAGCATAAATGTAAACACTATCCACACAGTTCCCAAGCAGGTTATGTAGATCAAGCGGTATTGCGTTATATCCGTGTATCATAAGTCCGTATTCCGGTAGTTCTACACAAATCTAAGCGAATCATCGGACACCTCAGCACGGGTATCTGAAAGAAAAAACATATTGTGCTTGCAATATATTTATATCTTACATATTCACATGTTGATTGAGCCTATACATGGAATACGCTTACTTAAAAATCGTTTAATTTAACTGCATTGTGTTACGAGTTCTTTTGGACCATGTACTCCGAAAATCAAAGCATAAAGCTTTAATCTCAATAGATAACAACCCAGGGATTGCTATGTTATTCTAATAAGTTTAAAAATCGTCAGACTGTGACATGAAATGCTACGATACACTAGGAAGAGAACAGCTAAACTGATTTGATTCAATTATCAAACTGTAACTATGCACTTACCCAGTTTTCAGATTGACAGGGTCGTCCTTCACAAGCCAGCTATCAGCAATCATCTGACTTCTGAAAATTTCTGGCCAAATATTCCTGACATCTCTACCATCAGACAGTCTATAGTCGTCCATGGGATCTCCGTTGAAGTTCCCGCCGAGACCAGTCAGCTTTCCTCGGTACATCTTGGGCACTTCAATGTTAAGATAATATCTCCCCTTGCCGTCAGGGCGCTGCACAGTTACCGTCAGGTTAACCAAGATGCCGGTTTCAAGACGAAGCACTGGTTCTCCAAGGGCCCTTTTCGGACCAAAAGGAAGGACGTTGGCCAAAACGTCTCGCTTGACCTTGAACATCCCGTCTGATATGGGGGCTGTCTGAGGCTGGCCATCAACCTGTTCAAAACCCACGAAGAAAAAAAAGTAATATAACTTAAACATTAATAATTGTATACTTTCATAGCCGAAATATTTGTTCTTTGTAAGTTTCGCCCCGTACCAATTAAAGATAAGCTACATACTATTATTTAATTTCTTTACATTTATCTTGCAATTTGAATACAACCAATAGCGACTGAGTGAATGTTTGAAGGCATAAGCTATGACAGTAAGTTTTACTGGTTTAAAAATACATTAAGCAGCAAACTGCATACCAATAAATTTATTAGTTCGAATGCCAAATCGGCGCGATGATAAACCACAGGGGAAAGGAGCAGGTTTAACGTGATTACTTACAAATAATTCGCCACGAACATTCATCCTTACTCGTCGTTGACCAATGGTCATTTCGACGTCATCCAGATAGCTAGCAAGGTCAGCCTTGTGGATTGCGTTCATAGCAGTGACAGTAAAAGGTGTAAGATAACCCTGGAATTAAAGAAAAAAAGATAAAATTTTAATTTTAAATAATGTAACACTCGTGTCTTTGCTTTTACTGCTATCAACAGTGATGAGAGTCATCATGTTTTGCACAGATATTAAGAAATAAACTTTCCTTTCGTTTTGACATTCTTTTTCCATCGTAAATGCAAGAGTTTATAATCAGTCTTGTTTGGATTTCGAATTGCACTCACTTCGATAACTACATAAGCAGCACTGATTCGACACAAAGGATCTCACGTCCATCATGTTTTCTCATTAAATTGTTGCTCCTTTTGTTTTCATTTTGTCACTGCTTAGAACCTTTTATATTAATGTATCATACGGTCGTTTGTCGTAAAGACAATAACACTTGGAACTTACCGCGTAGCGGGGATCCGTTTGAGTGAGCGTGTAACGGCAAGGTCCATTGTAAGTGATCCTAGCTCCATCAAAGGTAACGAAGTGAGGGTCGCCATCTTGTGTTGAATCGGCTAAAACAATATTAAAATTCATTTTAATTTGTTACTCGACGTAAATTATAGACAAAACGACAATGAATTCATTACCTATACATGTATATTTATTAAACACAATAAACAGTTGACCAAAAAATCGCATACAGTCCCTCTTGGCTAGCTATCGAAATCTTAAGCATCAACTTGAGTCAGTATTTATACTTTACACAAATTGTGGGCGTTTAGTAAGAAAGAACGAATAAGCAGTGTAGAACTAGCGTATACCGTGCGTTTGAATACCGTATGGGTGATTAAGGTGCGTAAATGTAATTGTATCGTATGCACTGTATATCAACGCATGAGTACATTGAAATAATGTATACGTACGGTTGTAAACGTTATACTCTAATGTAAACCATTAGATGATGGAAAAGGGGAGATTGCACACGCTCAAAGTTGGGCGTATAATCGGTTTCACACACAATACTCATACGTTGCTAGATTGACAGGATCTTTAGTCGTGTGAGTTTGCCATGAAATCCTCTGTTACTGAAACCAATGCATTTTAAACAGATACTCCACTACAACTTACATCCTGGAGACGCACATATCTCAAAAGCCCTTCTGCACCAACTATCTGTCATGGCGTCCATATGGGCTACATAAGCGCTGTGGGTGCCAATAAAAGCACGCCCTTCCTCGCAACATTCACAGGCGTCAATGAACGACTCGACAGCAGGATCAGTCTCATTAAAACCCTCCTCCACCAGTGCTTGTGCCCGGGTTGCACAGTCACGATGTTCATCACTTGAACCCAAGCCTTTGACATAGTTAATCGTTATTATGGCTGAAATGAAAACAAGAATGAAGTTTGGGAATGCGGCCGATTTTAATTGCACAGGTACGGTGTAACGGTATGCAACCGATATCTGTTAAAGCTCATGTCGATAAACTGTTACTAATAATAGCGTAGTGAAAGCTTTTGTAATATTAGTATACTCCAAAATATATATAGCGACAGAATGTACAGCTATGATGACAGCACAAACAAACAAACAAACAAACAAAAAATAAATAATTAACGGACAAACGAAATCTGTTGTATTGTCCAAAATATGCATTCAGGGGTGGTCAGGGGGGTCTTGACACCCCTCCCCCTTCGGTTTCTGGAAAAAAATCACACCACTATATTCTCCTTTTGATATGAGAATTTTGAAGATCTGAATCATAGTTCTAAACTGCACCAAATGGCGCCGTTTGCCCACCAAAACACCGAAACCCACACCAAGGGGGCAAGTGTCGTCTTCTCATCCGAGGCCTAGTCTCTCTTAAAAAACTGGACCCCCTTCAAATAATCATGGATCCGCCCCTGGAACCTACAGTACGTGCACAGTACTCTGTGGACTTAGCACTGCTAAATTATGTAATTTGCGGTGATTTCATTGGGTATATCTTTCAGTAATAATTCAAGATCAATCCCATTTTGGTTGCCCTGAGTGGTCAGATTAGGTGCAATGGCATTGTAACAAATCTATACATCATCCGTACTAGAAGAATGAAGACTCGCGTAAAAAATGCTAAACGATATAATCTAACCATGGATTAAATGATTTGTAGTTTGAAAACGCACTTTAGATAAAATCTGCTTTGGTCTAGAATACAAGCTATTCCAACAAAACAAAAATATCCTTACGGTATTCCACACAGCATTGACTGAAGTACGTTCTACAGTCGTTATCTTCGGAAATTCTCGGTATGCGCGTCGAGCAAGGCTCTTCTGACGGTATCATTCCCAAAAGGCAACATTCACAAGCTTTTAGACTTAACGAATTCAGAATAGGCGATATGGTGGCATCGTCGGTGCAGCTTCCGGTGTCGTTTGCCTCTTTGAGTCCTTTGGCGTGAGCTTCATCTTTTTCACTGGCCGCTGAAACAAATAAATTGGGAACTGGTTAAAAGAAACTTATTCTACAGATATTATATACCTGTACTTTCACCATCACCCAGTCCTTCAATTTATCAGTTAATATGCACACTTATGCACACGTACAACCGCACACTTACACTTAAAAACTAGAGGATCAGAGAGGCTCCACCTCCTCCTGGTATTGTACCACCAGCGGGAGTAGGCGCTTCAAGTAGGAAGGAAGGTATGGATGATAGCGTATTAGTTGAGGAGAAGTAGGGTTGGGTAAATATAGGGATTGGGAGAAGTAGAATAAAGGTCAAATCAAATGTAGATTAGCATGTTAAATGCGTGATTGTTTATGGAATATGCTTTTTTTACAAAACCCTGGGGAAAAGTAGGTCAGAGGTCAAATTCCAGGCCACAGTAAGATTCTTATATATGAAATTCTATCCAAGTTCAATAGTAACTATGGGTGTATCTCTGCCAGTTTTGGCGATAGGAGGGTCTGAAATTTTGTAAAATTCAGTTTATGGTGAAAAGTAAAGCAAAATTCAAATTGCCATTATATGACTTCTTATTCAAGTTCAATAATAACTATGGGTATATCTTTGTCTGTAATGGAAATGTGCGGGCTGCAAATTGAAAAGTACAATTCTTAGTGAAAAGCAGGTCAAAGGTCAAAGTTACTTGACACGACGAAGATAGGCTATAGTGAAGAGGTTAGTGTCAAGTTATCTCTGAAGCTCAGGGTGCCCCAAGTGCACCTTCTCACCATAATATGAAAGCATAGAAGTCTTGTTTTTGTTGTTTTTGAAAAGTGGTACAAACAAATCTTTCTTTGCAAAAAATTGTACACAATTTTTGGCCCCTTTGCCCTTGATATAACGATCAGAGGTCAAATTCAAGATCATATTTAAAATATGTACATAAGACTTTCAATCAGATTTCTCTAGTATTTTTCCCATAAATACTTCGGTTCAGGAGATATTTGGCATTTAATTTTCCAAAATTTTGACAAGGGTGCACTGCGACGAGCGTCACACCTAGGCCAATGCACCGACAGAACTCCAAATCTAGGGGGATCAAGTTGAGATTATATGTGGCCTAAATCCCAGAAATTGGGACGCAGGCATTTGTAGTGTAAGAAAAGAAGCGGTAACGGCGACTTGTATCCGCCGACAAGACGCGGAGCCAGCGGAAGCCGACTTAAGCCGCACGAGACGGGTCGGGACTAAAACAATGAGTATCACCAGCGCTCAGGCTGGATCAATAACGGAACATCTGTTTTGGCTTAGCTGTTGGGGGTGACAACGTTTTTGGATTCAGTCATAAACACCTTTTTTTCAATTGCTCTCCTTTTCTTTTAAATCAACCAGTATTTTTGTTCACTTACTTAAGTTTGAAGTATCGTCCTCACAGCAAGCTAAGATGGTAGCTCTGGGGCAATCTGGATGCGCTGCAGCCTTCTCAGCACATATTCCTTGGCCAGTCTGCGCAGTCTCACAGCACTCACAACATATCGTGAAGGTATTGTTATCGGAGCAGTATGAAGGTGCCTGGGAAGAAGTTCGCGCATCACAACTAGTACTGTCAATTTTCAGTCCCATTTCGCAGCAAAGTTCCTCTGTAAGTGTTAAAAACTTGTGATAAGGTAAGACACGATACCAGTGTCTAGAGAAATCTGTAATGTGATGGTATGGTCTTCTACACAAAACAGCAGAGGAAATCCATTTGCAATTTTATAAATAAAATTTATCAAAAACATTCATACCGTTCACTTACGGCCAACCTGGACGTAGGCCTTCATCAGACTGATGTGAGTAGATGTTGACACTCACTGACCGCTAGGTGGTCAGTTATGAACATTAAGCTAATGAACATTTTTGCCCATTTGCAATTTGTTCTGATGTGGATTTTTACTAAATCTAGGTCAATCCAGTTTTTTGGGAGGCAACGTGGGGATATGGTACAAATGCTTATTATGCAGATTGGCAATTTATGGTGCTGAGTACACCACGATATTGCAACTAAACAGATTTATGTAAGTTGTTCTTGTAACATTACTACTGACTTTATTTTCCACTTAATTAATTCTAACAAATACGTAAGGCAACGCGGCTCGCAGAATTGCGGCTTGCAATTGAAAAGAAATTGAAAAAAACATACATAGCAAACATCAAATAAATAGATTTCTGAAAACCAGGCAAGATAGTAAATAGCGAATAACTACTTAATTTGGTTTTTCAACGTTTCGCTGCAGATACTCTTACATGTTGTCTAAATTGATATGTTCCCTGAGACAATATTGTATGTCCATTATGACTTATTTCACGCGATGTTTCGTATGTGGTTGTGTCAATATATATATATATATATATATATATATATATATATATATATATATATATATATATATATATCCCAACCACCCCTTTTCCCACCCACCCTAAAAACGTACAAATATATATATATATATATATATATATATATATATATATATATATATATATATATATATATATATATATATATCACTTACCGGCACCGGTACAATGTTCCCTGTATTCATCTGCACAACTGTTATTGCCGAGAGCAGCGCCACGCATGCTACAGTGGTTTAGCAACGGTATTGCTCCCAACTCGCCGCAGTCGGCTGAATTTGAGAAAGCAGAAATGAGCGCAAACATAGAGTATCATCAGTATTGGTGACCGGGCTCATAAAATGGAGAAAACGGATGACAGCCGGTCAGCAATGACCAGTAATTGTCTTAATCCGAAACAATATCATTGGGGTAGGGGCTGTAGGAATCTATCCCACCCACACTTTTTTCCAACAACGTCATTAAAAAGGACGGCGGGCAGGGAACTAAGGAATTTTCCCTTCCCTTACAGTAATATTTTATACGCTTACCCCCCTACCCCCATCCCACCCACCCCTTCACCCACCCACCCTAAAAACGTACAAGTATATTTGAATAGACCCTACATGATTGCACAATTATGTATCATCAGTATTTCAAGACAAGCCCACACCCACACTCTCACCGCACAACTACCATATCCAAAAATGGCGTGTAAATACTATTGGTTTTGAAAACAAACTGTTTGACTTTAAAAAAATTTGAATATATTTAATTGATACGTTCCATAAATTTCATGTTTGTCTTTTCTATGCAATGCAAACTTTTGTTATGTAGTACTTTTCAATATTATTATAAAAACGATATACAAAAACATTTTCTGCAATAATGATGATTAAGTTTAGCATTATCTAATATATGACTTCTGTTTCTGTTATAAACAAAGCCCTTATATCCAACATCTTTGAATTCCACGAACCGCCAGGAATTGATAAATCCAAGGGTTCTTCGTTTAATCGTGATAAATTCTTTAAGCTCTTAATTGATTCTTATTTTTTCTCAGTCAGTTCTTACAATTTTGAGAGATCGTGCAATCTGGACAAAAGTTCTGAGTTGTTCAAAATTTTGGTCCCGAACTCCCGAAAGTAAAAAATCTTGTTTAATTCTTAACAAATCCTTGGTATATTCTTAGATATTGTAACGGATCTTGGAAACATGAAGCATTCGTCTGATCACGATTTGACTACGAGTTTGTAAAGCAGCGGTGAAGGACTTTTTATACCTGTCCTGGGGGCACAATAGTCCCTCGAAATTTCAAAAATAGTCAAGATTACATCATTAGTCGTAGGTGCATTCGGCAGATACTTAGCTTTCTCTTATCTGAATCCTAATATTCCTGAAGTATGCCTATAAGTCCAAATTTGTAACTGAATCCGGACAAGATATCTACCGGAAAGGTGCAAAATTACACGATTCCTCGCTATCTCTAAATTGTATCAATTCCTAGCTATTCGTGGAATTCATATAAGTTTGGAAACATTAGATCAAAGGGTTTTCCACTAATCGCGTTCGGTCTGAAAGCGCACGGCGACGGCGACGACAAATGCAGGTGCTGGCTATATCATCATGTACATGTTTTAGTAGTGATGAATAAATTCATTTACCCCTAGGGACCCCCCCACCGCCACTTACACTAAAATGCCAAAGGGTACATGCACCTCTTTGATGATCATTCTTGGCTTATGATGTTGCATCTTGTTCTTTGCTTGCTTGCATGTTTGCATCACTATGCTAAAATTTAGTTTAGCATTGGTATCACAATGCAAGTTCAGAGAAAAACTACATGCAGCATTTGTAAAAAAAATATATGACTTTAGATTCATTGTTGAACGGAGTAGCATTTTATGCTAAATTAAATAAAAGATTATAATTACGTGGATGCTCGGGATGTACGGCGCCAACTGCGTCAATAAGAACAAAGAGTACCAAGAGCTTTAGTACCAGTCTAATGTTGTCAGCCATTTTCGACATTCGTCGTATTTTAGTTCCTGAAAAAGATGTCGACGTGATAAAACTTGTTGATATAATACTCTGAGAAGTTGACAAATGCATGGGAGTAGATTAATGGAACTGTGCTGTTCATAATTCAAATACACCAATGCAAACAAACATACGGTTCGCATTCACGCAACTCTCATACCATAGGGAATACAGATTCACGCACATGTCAGGAGCTTATTTTTAAGACTAGACATATTTGATGAGATGGATAGAATTCGACCGATTTTAATTTTGATGAAATAAGTTTTATAAAAATATAATCATATATTTATCTTAAGTTTAAAGCCCCTTAAAATGTTCAGTAGACTTTACCTAAAAAAACAAATACAAATATATAGAAATAAAAGATTATTGAGAAGGACTACAATTCCAATACAGATTTTTGCACCTTTAATGTAGCTTTCATAAAAACGGCATATACATATATATATAAACTTCATATCATCCATTCACCATGACAGCTAGCGAAAAACAAATAAACAAAAAATTTAAACCCTCAGAGAATCAAAAATTCAAAACAATAGAGAAGCATCGGTGGAATGGTCTTCAATATGTCCACCTATTCTGAGAATCACAGGCTACAGTCAAATTAATCAACAAATCGATTAAAAACCCAAGGGTGTCCACCAGTTTGGATTTCACAGTTTTCGATATATCTGGGGAAGCCTCTCTAAACACCGTCGTCTATTATGCAACGAGCTGGAAACCATCAACGTTTTTGGGTTCAACACTGGAGCCATGTGGCTCTCACAGATGACGATGGCCTGATTATAAATTTACCGAATTATCGAGAGGGTCGAATTAAAGTTCACAGGTTTCCTGAAGAGGCTTGCTGAAGAGGCTCCAAAGGAAAAAGAGGACGTTTGGAGCAAATATTTCGGAAACCACCAACCTCCCATTTGCAAAAGGGCACCCTATTTTATTTTGCAAATTGATAATGCCCTTTCACAAAGAGCACTCACAATCGCAGATTACTTTGGTTGAAACCCCTACAACGACCATAAAGATCGCCACATATAAACACTTTATAGAATCTGTTGGGATTAATGTCTCTCCGAATAAAGGGCCCAACGAAAAAAAAGTCGAACATAATTAAACAAACCCCGACCGATGCCAACAATGCTATTCCATACCAAAACCTATCAGAAGGAATGCCACGAGAGAAAGGTACTGACGGTTGTTAGATAAAGACATCCATATGGTGGGGCGTGGCACTCATTAACAGCTGATAATTTGAAAAATATGGAAATCCAAATAAGGCTTTTAATGGTTGTTTAAAACTTATAATCAGTCATGTATTCTTGCAGTGCTCTGCCGATGAACTCACTTAAGAAACTGAATTCACAATAACACTGAAAAGATGATAAAAGCTTTTTTTAAAATATGATTCAAGTCTTTATTTTCATTTATTACGCAGAAAAATACGTAAAGTTTGAAGTAATTGAATGTCAGCTCTGTTTTGCAGCTTAAAGTCGGGTGGTACATGCACTATAAAGGAGTGACAAAAGTAGCTAAGGTGCATTTTGAAATTATCCAAACAATTAAAAAGCAAAATTCATCGATCAGTGGTTGAAAAATAGAAGGATTTAAACTCTCGAAAACCGTTGGGAACAGTTTCATCAACAGTATACCCCTTCCCTGTAGCATAATGCTGGACACCCCGGTTCCTATAACACCACTACTCATTATGACATTAAATTAAATATCCTGAAGCTTTCTATAAAAAAATCCACAACAGAAACGCTACGTAAATTATATCTTCTGTTAAAATTTTTGTCTTGGACTTCAAAATAGGGGTAACACTGTATACCACCAACGCTCCATTAATAATGCATTGACTACTTGGCATTTTTGTGGAATCCTGAGCTCTTGAAAATATTTAGAAATGCGCCATGTTGAAAAAATGCCACGTTGCAGAGCAAAGAACCGAATGTGTCAGCTTCTTTCTCGGGTCATTTATTTTTTAGAATTCATATTAGTTTCAAAATTCCGTTGACTTCAACGAGAGTCTGTTTTATCCACCGTGAAATGATTGTAAAGAATCTTAAAAATCTTATCTAACTGAATAATTGAACTATTTATCTAAAGGGATCTTTTGCAGAAAAAAATTAACTTCACGATGAGACCTATATTACAAACACAAGGTGTCTGTATAAAATTTAAAACCCAAAATTGTCTCGTTTAAAGCGCACTTGAAAGTCTGAAACCCAAGATTGACTTGCGACAACAGTTGCAATAATTTTGAAAACATTCAAAAATATTAAAATTGCATGAACCAGGTTTTTTAATCCTTGCTTCGCGAATTTCACCACTCAAATGAATATCTTAAAAACGGATCCTACTGCACCTAAACCATTTAATATTTGGAACAGTTATAATCGTTCTGTAGCAGTTACATGGTATACATAAACAATCTGCTTACCTTTCAAGAACGAGTCTTCTTCCTCTGTTATAACGTCAATGGATAGGATTAGTTGTGGAGCTACTGTGTCGCCGACGTCGTAAGATATATCTGCGTGTAACAGGTGCGGTATTAGCGATAACAGTTAATATTCATGAAGTTATATAGGTCATATCTCTAGCCACATTTCTTTCCATATTTTTAATCAAGGGGTAAAAGGGAGGCATATTAGAAACAGTTCTTTACTTCTCGCGGGTTCAAATGTGACCAATAATCAAATATCCAGTTTTCGATATTTCAAACGTATGTAAATCCTTTAATGTGATTTAGATATAATTTGAAAAAAAAATCTAGACGTTCTAATAAGAACCTTCTTTCCACCACGTTAATAGACCCATCTTTAAAGAATTCAGTATAGATGTCACTTCTATCGTGCTGGAGCACTCCCTCAAAAAATCGATCAAGCCACGCATTCTCCTTTGCAATGCAACCTACAAAGAAATGTTTCCTTTTTGATTATGCTGCCAAAAGGGGCTTGTCGTCTTACGTTTCAAATTCATACATAATTTATTTCAGCCACAGGCCAATATCGCATTAAAATATAAGAAAAGAAATAAAACTGGCAAGGACAATACACATTAAAGAAGGGACACACATTACGTAAGACTTAAAAGACACAATAATGTATAAGAGACTAATTGATTAATATTATGAGCATGCAAATATTTGGGATAATAACACAATAACAAGGAGACCAAAAACTTATATTATGGGCATAATCACCTTAATTCAAAGCAAAAATGGGATATAAAAAATTATTATATAAGTTTCACTTTGTGTTGACAAGACTTGAATAAACAGATCAGAACATAACTTATTTTAGAATTTTGTATGGATTTTAGGATAAATCGCTAAAATTACTTTTTTGATAAAGCATATTTCAGCTATTTGAAGTTAGTAATGGGTACGACCAACAGTGGCCAAATTGGGAGATAGCAAGAATTAAAGGGGGGGGGGAGATATTGCATCCTGAATTAGCCGGTGCACTTGTGTTTATTTCAACTTGAAAAGACATTTGATAACGTTTGAATCTCTAAGAAAGGGCACCTGGTTGCTACAAAAGTAACTTATTTAGTGTGTTATAAGAAAAAAAGAAGAATAAATAACATTTCTAGAATAATTGCAATTATTTTATTTTCCCGCAAGAACGACATAGAGGTGCTATTGGAACAAAAACCCTTAACCCATGAAATAATTTAATAAAAGTCGAATATAAATCCTTTGGTTACCCAGTGGTATAACTTTTGTTAATTTCACATAAATCGCATACCAATCTTAATCAGTAACACATGATTAACGTTTAGCAATAGCTACGATTCAAAACAGATTGATATACATTTTGCATTGTTATTGGTACAAACACGCTTTTTCTTTGCTTGTCACAGGTATTAAACTTGAACGGACACCTCTTTGATCATTTTGTTCATTTTAATATCAATATTTTGTTTTATTACCGATCAGTTTAATTTTTTTTACACACCGTGTCTTATCTACTGTCAAATCTTAACCAATGATACATTCAAGCGTTCAATCTTCAATTTAAAATTAAAATTAAAACATTAACTTGAATGACTGCGGCTATAACTGAGAGAGAGAGAGAGAGAGAGAGAGAGAGAGAGAGAATTATTGAAACTATATTTGACCACGTTTCTGGACACTTTCCTCCAGATGCCAGTTCCATCTCACTTATTAGTTCAAAACATTGCATCCAAACTTAATTGCATGAAGTTTTTTGGTCTTACAAAATAACTGAATTATGATAACTATATAAAAGTAAACGGTTTTAAATGTAGTTGCCCTTCAATAGCTAAACCTGTGTCTGAAATAACGAATTTCAGTGTTTCTTAACAACTACACATACTTTTTATATGGTGTATCTGAGTCAATATTTTTATAATAACGCTCAACATGCATTGATACATAAAGTCACCCATATGCCTATTAAATCCCGGATTTTCAATTAGATGTAACAAAAAAAAAAAGACTTTATCTTTTTATTACCGCTGGCCATAAAATACACTTATGAAATTTATATACTTGGGACAGGTAAGTACCGCATGCTTGTTTTATTACTTAATGTATGATTGAACAGGTTTAACTAGGCTTAATATCCTGACCTATAGAGATAAAACTGGTTTTTGAAGAAAAGAATATGGACTGGAACCAGTTGGAACCTTTTTGAAACCAATTCCCATAAAATTTTGTATTTTTGGTTCCTCTTCTGAAAAAAAAATTATTGGTTTTCACATGTCTCAAGGAAGGCACTTTGGCATAGGTTACTCCCAAAATCTGCTCGTTCGCTGCATGATCGAGAAAGCGGATCAGACAATGCCGCCCTCTGGGAACAGTAACAGCAGGTTAGAAATGTCGACTTGCAACGTTGCTCATCGCCGTAAGCTTCAGCATCTTCATCGCAGTTGGTAGCCTGTTTTCCTGCGTTGCAGCAGTCGGCCTTTCCTGTATAATCTGCACAAACAAAGAACGAATATTAAGATTTATTAATATTGATTTTCAGTATTCGGACACCTGCTTGTTTAATGAGCGTAAAAAGTGTTAATACTGTATTTTGTTAAGATGATTGCATTATACTATATGTTTAACCCTTTGGCGTACCAAATTTTAAACAAATTTACTTTCGACCAAACTGTACCATGTTGCGAATCAACGGCGAACAAAAGAATTCACAGAATTCAGAATTAGAGCAGCGTTACTGAATATGCAGTGGGCTACAGAGGACAAAAACAATATGAGGAAAGGGGAAGCCGGAAGGTGAGGAACTGAGAGCCCAAAACGCATTGGAAAATTAAAAAACTCTCAATCCTGCTTCGAAGCGAGAATCGTCACATAAGGTTACTAATATCCGTAAAATATTTTAGAACTATGTATACATGCAACCCCTCTTGTAGTTACACAACATTTCAACATCATTCAAATAAACAAACTGTATTTATCCATTTCCATTTTTTTACACTAAAAATAGCTAATAATAGGCGAGATTTACCTGGTTCTTCACAACACATAAGGAAAGAGGCTCGGATGGTTCCCGTACTAGTAGGTACTTGCTGGACGCAGGTCTTGATAGACTGGTCTGACTGCTGACCCAATTCACAACTTATACAATTGTCCAAGTATTGGGCAACATCGCATACTTGGGGCCTCTCGGAATTTTGGCGTGTCAAGCATCTGGTCTCATCTACCCTCAGGGCTATTTCCTCGCAGTACGAGGAGTAGTCTAAAAGCAAGAAAAAGGCTATCCATTAGACTATATAACCATCCATATATTTTAGAAATATACTTGAGATGACATACATTAACCAAGCGAAGTATATTACGTTTAAGACTTAAAATGTACAATACAAACCAATATTGATACCACAAAGTTGGAGTCTTAAAGTTTGATTTTGGTTAATACATGTATAACATTGCTGTCATTATGATTAGATATCATTGGTTTATACATTATTCAAATGAATACAGCCGGTTTATCATCTTGTTTTATGCAAAGTGTTTAAACACATTTTTCATTTAAAAACGAATATTTGAGTGTATGCTGAGTGCAATATAGTTCTGTGCCACATGAAAGCTTTATGTACACACATAGACATATAGGCTACATATATGTATATGTATGTTATTATTATAATCATAATTATTATTCAGAGATTCTCAATATATACCCCAGCAGGTTCATTTAAAAAACCAGAAAATGAAGTTAAAGACATATTTGCGAATTCTACTTTTTCTAAAACTCTAGTGACAGAAAGTGATAAATCTAGCTTTTTGTGCACGACATGCAAACATTCTCCGTTTCATGCCTTGTTGGTATGCACAGTTTTCGTATTCGGTAAAGAAGGTTTGAGTAACCAAAGTTTTAAATATAGCAACCCTTTCAGTTAACATTTGCACGTTTTTAACACTTACAAAAATTAGACTGCGCTAAAGGGATGTTACGAAATGCACGTTTATTGAACGGATATATAGTCCATAAGGTCTGGCCGGGAAATACGTTTAGAAATGAGCACGCTATTCCATTTTTTTTTTTTTTTTTTTTTTTTTTT